CACCCCATCTGCCTTTCTGACGGCCGCAGGCAAGGAGCGTGGCGGAGTCCCCTGCCCAGGCATGGGAGGCAGGATGGGCCTGGGAGCGTGCGAGGCCCCAGGCGCTGGATTAAAGGGGAGGAAGGAAGAGATGAAAGCAGAGTTTGGAGAATGGCTCGGCTCAGCGCAGGAAACAAGCGTTGCGCTCGCCTCCCTCCCAGGGATCAGGGGCTCGTGATCGCAGCCACTTACGAAAGCAGCTACGGGGTTGGGGAGGGGTGCTGGTGGGAGCCTGGCAGGGCCCCCCACACATCCCCCTCAGGCACTGCCCCATCCTGGGTGCCAGCCCTCGCCCGGTGGCATGCAGCACCCAGCACGCGCACCGGGCTGGATCCCATCCTGTGAGGAGGGCATGGCCGCCCTCGAGGCCAGCACGAGGCACATGGGCGTCCCCGTGGGTCCAGCAGCACCGTGGGGCATGAGCTGCCCTCTCCCTGCCCTCCGTCACGTCTCTGCCCCATGGCTGCCAAACCCTCCTGCTCCAGCAGAGCAGGAGCAATGGGAACCATCTACAGGACAGACCCCAGCCCTCCATGCCAGCCCCAGCTCCCCCTCGCCTGCGCAGGGGGGCAGAGCTGTGGCCCCCTCCAGCACTCAGCAGCATCTACAAAAATACTTTATTGTGGAAGTGGGAGGCACAGGAGCTCTCTGTACAGTACAAACCAACAGCAGCAATGCAGTCACCAGCACACAGACACGTGATAGTGGCACCTGAAGCCTACCCTAGGGGGGCAGCGGGAGCTGGGGGGGCTGTGGCCCCTACATCACCTTGGGCCTGGCGTTGAGGCGGATGATGGCCCGGTAGTCCCGCACCAGGTCCCGCAGCTGGTCCAGGTAGGGGTTGATGTTCTCCTCCATCCACTCCTCCACCATGTCAGGGAAGTAGACTCTCTCCAGGTGTGTGCGCAGGTCGCGAACAAAGCTCTCCCAGTCCTCGTGGAGCCTAGCAGGGGGATAGTGAGGGGGTCCAGCTCCCTCCTGCAAGGAACCCCTGAGCGAAGCCCGGGACCCCTCCCAGCCCCATGCAGGCACCCAGAGGGGCTCCCAGCCCCCAGCACCACGTACTTCACCACCTTGCTGCCGAAGCTCTCCATGTTGCGGGGATTGCCGAACTGGCGCTTCCGGTGATAGGGGCTGAACCAGCCCTTGATGGCACTGGGAAGGCACGAGGGGAGTGGGGGGCGTGGGGGCCACCCTAGGTTGGGAATCTGCGTGCCAGGCAGGTCCCCTCCCCTGCACAAACTCTTGTGCTCTGGCCCCATGGCCAGAGCCAGCCGACTCCGACTCCGTTGCCTCCCACCACCCATTACCTCTCCTCCTCCAGGGCTTTAAGGATGCTCTCCTTCAGGTGGCCATTAACCTGCTCGACCATGTGGTAGATCTCTGCGCCAGGGAACGCTCCCCTGCCCTCGCTGGGGAAAGGGAGGAGGAGGTGAAAGCCCACCATGTGGGGTGCATCGGCCATGTCACACCTCTGGGCTGGGTGAGCCCCAGCACCCTGCGCAGCTGGAGAGCACCCGCCCTCACCCCAGGTGGGTCTGGGACCCAGGCATTTGAGTAACCAAGCCCCTATCCCCTCCAGTGCATCTCTTCTGATGTGACCGGAGTGGCAGTGCCACGGCCGCCCCCCACCATGGCTGGGCTGTGCCACGCACCACGTGCTCTGCTCCAGCTGCATGCTCTGGAATCCCAGCGTGTCCAGGACCTTCCTTTTCGTCTCTTCCGTGAAGCCCCCTGGGGAGGTTGAGGAGAGGGGCAGAGGGTCCCAGGCCACCCCACCTTTAGGCACTTGCCTCTGGCTTCACTACACCCCTGAACTGGGGGAGCTGAAGCTCTCCTTCCCCTTCCTCCCACCCCCCTCCCAATATCCTTCCCTGCCTGCAGGACAGGGTCTCGCAGGCAATGGCTGCCCGTGGGGTGGGGCGATGGGGGACAAGCCTGTCCGCGATGACTGGTCCGGTGCCGGCAGCAGAGGGGTGGCTCACCGTTCACCAGGGTCTGCAGGCAGATGGCCAGGGAAGGGATGCCGACGGGCAGCAGCTCGCAGAGTACCGAGTAGTGATCGTACCTGTGGAGCAGGGCCAGCCATGCCATTGCCTCCTGTACCACCACTGGCAGGGCTGCCTGGGCGCTGGGGAGGGTGGGGGTCCCGCTGCCCCTCACCTCTGCCAGCCGGTGAGGACGATGCCCTGGAAGCGCAGTGGGGCCAGCCGCGGCAGGGACTGCATCACCTTCAGCCAGCTCAGGTGGTTTTTCAGGTGGTAGCTCAGGGGGGTCCAGGTCTGCGCTGGTCCTGTGGTGCCCTTGAAGGCGCTGGCGAACCACACCGCCTCGAAGCCGCTCTCCACATACTTGGTGAGGAATGGCCCTAGGGTGGGACAGGCATGATCCACCAGTGCCACTGTCCCCAGGGGGCTGGGGGGGGACTTGGTGGGAGGTGTCCCCCCCTGCCAGCCCCAGGAGCCCGGCACGCTGCCTTACCAATCTGCTCAGCCTCAAAGTCGGGTGCATAGAACCACACCACAGGTGAGACGTGCTTTGCTATCCCAGACTCTGTGGGGGGAAACAGGGATGGGGACATGGGCACTGGTGCCAGCAGCAGGAGGATGCCTGGGTCTCCTCATGCTCCCCTGAGACCCGTGTCCCCACAGGGCCAGGCACGGCGTCCTGCTGGGCTCTGGGCATGGTGCCTGCCAGGGCAGGCACATGGACGGGCGCTGCTGAGACCCCCGGCTCCGGTACCACTGCTGCTGTCCCCATTGTCTCACCCTGCAGGGCTCCCACGCTGATCTTCCTCAGCATGTCATCCCACATGAGCACCCGCAGCCCCCAGAACTGCGTGGTGATGAAGCTCAGCACCTCCTTGATGTGCTTCAGGTACATGGTCCCCATGTCACCCTTGTTATGGCTCATCCAGTTCTTGGAGTCCATCCCCTCCCCAAGATGGAAGACCTGGATTTGGGGAGGAAGGGGGATGCTGAGCACCCCTGGGAGCATGCCTGGCACCCAGGACAAGGGCTGGGGTTCCTGCATGGCCCGTTGCCCACCTCATCTGCACCGATGTGGATCCAAGTGGAACGCCTGTGCTTCTCGATCACCTGCGACAAGATGCTCTTGAGCAGGGCCAGGGTGTCAGGGACATGGGGGTTGAAGCTGTTGGGGAAACGCTCAACCTCCCGCAGGTGCTGGTACTTCTCGTGCTTGAGGATGAACTGTGCGGGAGGAGCCATCAGGGGGGTTTCCAGGCCATGGGCCAAAGGGATGCAGGATGAGGAGCAGGACTGGGACCCCCTACCTCCACGTGCCCAAAGGTTTGCACCAGAGGAACCACCTCCAGCTTGTGGAGATCTGCCAGCTGCTGGATCCGCTCTATGTCCTTCTCGCTGGGAGGGCAGGGACAGGCTCACCAGGGGATGGCGGAGCAGAGGGCAGAGCACGAGGGCACTCCCTCTGGCACCCTGCCTACGTGGCCCCAGCCGCCCCACGCCTGTGTGGACTTTATTATGGGGACACAAATATTGACCCAGCGGGGCAGAAAGCCAGTCTGCCAGTGGCACAGCCCGGCACTCTGACCACAGTTATCACAGCCATGGGTGCAGGTGGGTCACACCCAGCCCCCATTGCACCAGGACCTGCCAGGACCGCACCGAGTCGGCAGCCCCCGGCCAGCTCAGCACACGGCCCCGGCTCACCTGTAAGCGTATGGGGACTTGAGGATTTCCAGCTCCCCCTTGAAGGGGAACATGTCCTCATACTCAATGAGGATGCCGTTGGCTCCCAGCTGGGACAGGAGGGGGAACACCTGCGGAGCGGGCAGGGTCGGCTCAGCTGGCGGGGATGGCAC